TACTTGTGAAAGGATTTAGTTCAGAATCAATCAGTCAAGATTCTACAAAAGTAGCAAAGAATCTTCCAAAAGACACACAAGTTAAGCTTTTGAAGCTTTTGGAGACTTTGAATATTTGTCTTTTGTGCAGTGATCCACCTGAGGATGCTGTTGTTACTATATGTGGACATGTTTTCTGCCATGTGTGTATATCTGAGTATTTAACAGGGGATGAATTTGACAACACGTGCCCTTCATTTAATTGCAAAACTCAGATTGGTGATGATGTTGTGTTTAGCAAAGCTACCTTAAGGAGCTGTGTACATGATGATGGTGGTGATGATGATGATGATGATAATAGAATTGATGATGAGAGTTGTTTGGTTTTTGAGAATGATTATGCTTCTTCCAAGATCAAAGCGACTCTGGAGATCATTCAGACTCATTGCAGTTTATCAAATGATTTGCAGCAGCCGATAAAAGCGATTGTATTCTCTCAGTGGACAAGAATGTTGGATTTGGTGGAAGCATCGCTGAGTCAGCATTGTATAGAATACAGGAGGCTTGATGGATCAATGTCTCTAGTGTCAAGGGATATGGCAGTTAAAGAGTTCAACACTGATCCTGAGGTGATTGTGATGCTGATGTCATTGAAAGCCGGGAATGTTGGGCTAAACATGGTTGCAGCATCTCATGTGATTCTTTTGGATCTTTGGTGGAATCCGGCTACTGAAGATCAAGCTATTGATCGAGCTCATAGAATTGGTCAAACTCGTCCTGTTACTGTTTCAAGATTGACTATTAAGGATACAGTTGAGGACAGGATTCTTGCACTCCAGGTATATTATAATTTATATTATAGTAGGGTTATCACTGAATATGGGAAAGAAACTTATCAAGTTGCCAACAAACGCATTTTATTTTTCAAAAGAGTACCAACTCATGTTTTCTGTATGTTTACCTTCTATCACAAGTTGAAGTGTTGAATGGGTCATCATCGTTTCCGATCTTTTGGCTCAAATTTTAAGTTTTGTTACGATTTTTGGTCAGAACATTAAGTTTTATTACGAATTCATCCCAAATTTAGTTTAATTTACAAATTTATTTGTGTACAAGTAAAGATTTTTTTTTTCTATATATTTTTTACAACATTTTAAGAACATTTCATAGATTTTTTATAACATTTAAAAAAGAAAACTTTTGTTAAAGATAAGTCATATGAAAGTGTAAAAAAAGTTATAAAAAATGTAAAGCAAGTTTAAATGTTGGATTTTAAAAATTGTAAAAAGGGCTTATAAACTTTTAGTTAACATGTATAATATAGTTTATTACAAGTAGTAAATTTTTCTATAAAAAGTTGCAAAAATATTGTAATTATTTTTTCTTCAAAATCTGTAAAAAATTAAGAAAACAAATCGTAAAAAAGATTGTAGTTTTTTTTTTACAAAAGTTGTAGAAAAATAAATTTGTAAATTAAACCAAAATTTGGGATGAATTTAGTTAACATGTTCGGACCAAATTCTTAATAAAATTTAAAATCTGGGCCAAAAGTGTAAAATTGGAAAGAAGGGTGACCTATTCAAGTCTAGAACAATTGGTATTGAGTTGAGCTTGCTTTAAACCAGAATGATAAATGAATCATACAACAAAAGCACCTGAGTGTGGTGGTGATGTGAATTATTTATGCAGGAAGAAAAGAGGAAAATGATTTCTTCAGCTTTTGGTGAGGATCAAAGTGGAAGCTCAGGGCCTCGACTAACTGCACAAGATCTTAAATATCTGTTTATGGGTTCTCATTAACTTTCTAATTATCTAGTTATCTAATATCTACCTCCTGTCAGTGGCTGTTTATTTTGGCCATAAGGGAGGAGGGAGTCATTCCCTCCGAACCCACTGCCACATCACTTTTTCTCTTTTGTTTTTCTTCATATTTCCGAACCCACAACAAACGGAAATCATATCTTTTTGAACCCACTCAACCCACTCAATTAAAAAAAAATACAAAACAATCAAATGTAAAATCTTAATTAGCAATAGAGTTATCGGCGGTACCACCCCCCTCCCGCTTCAACGAGTGGGTTGATTGATTTTACTAACCCACTTCATCATCTCTCTACTTTCTCTTTCTTATTTTCTCTTGTACCATGTGTTTTAAAACTTGTACCTTAGTTGTTTTGTATTATTTTTAATTGAGTGGGTTCAAAAAGATAGGATTTCCGGTGTGTTGTGGGTTCGGAAAGATGAAGAAAAATAAAAGAGAAAAAGTGATGTGCCAGTGGGTTCGGTGGGTTGGGAGGGAACGATTCTCTCCTCCCTAACATAATGGCATTTTGTTTAGAATGTAGCCAGCCCTGTAATTGTAAATACTCCTGTATACTTGTTTTTTATCCATGTCAAAAGTTTGTCTGGTTTCTTTCTTTTTTTCGGTTATTAATAATTGTCTGTATTCATTGATTAAAATTATATATCTTCTAAAAAAAAACCAAATTGGGTGGCTCTTACTTTTGATTTTTTTCCCTTACATTTCTTTTATATTTCATTTCATCCCTTTCATTTTCACCGGTTGTTTATAATTGCCTCTTCTCTTTTCTTTAATGGCCATCACCTACCATTTTTACTTTTTGCCATTTAAGTCCTCCTACTAAGTTTGCTATCATCCTTATACTTTATAAAATGACATTTTCAACCCTTTACTTTTTAAAAATGTTATATTCACTCCTATACTTCAACTTTAAAGAAATATCAATTCTACTCATTCTATTTTCTTAACTTTTGTTTTATCCCTCATAATATATATATATATATATATATATATATATATATATATATATATATATATATATATATATATATATATATATATAATCTGATTTACCTACGGTTACCACTCTTCTGATTTTCTAACCTTTCGTATGTGTCGGTATAAATTAGAGGTGATCAATGTTTCGACGTAAATTTAGAACTTTACTTCGTTAATTTAAAAAATTATTCGTTTTTTTTTACGTTCACTTACTAATATTCATATACGTTTTGCATATAATACGATTTTGATTATCTCTTCTTGGCATGACTTTGACCCTTCACTATTGTGGTTTGCTAACTTAAGTCTTCCTAAGTTCCTGTTCAAAAGATAGCAACTTATTTTCTACTACTTCTCGAATACATTACTGCCGCCGCAACGCGTGACGGGTAAAATCCTAGTTTTATGTAAAGGCACCTGAAAAAATGTCTTCTGTAGTTTGAATTGTAGCCTTGGAATTTATAAAGTGGTGCACCATATTGCCACTAGAGCAAAAAAAAAATGTAAGGGATTGACCACTAGAAATGAGGTTCTTATGAAAGATGACCAAAATTTTCTTAAATTTGGAAAATGACCATTTTGTCTAGAAAACATTGTTCTAGAATCTAAAGTATTTACCTTTGTTTTGGATTGTTTGAAAGAAGGTGAGACATGCAATAAAGTTTTACTATAATATAAGAGCATCTACACCGGGGTCTTGCAAACCCCTTTCAAAACCAAATTGAATGCCTGCAAACCCCTTTCAACCAAATTGAATGCCACATAGGATGAATCCTTTCACAGTCTACAAGGATTGCAAAGGCAAACTCTATGGCTCACGGATATTTAAAATTTAATACAAGTGATATCTTTGATTTTCTAAATATTTTATGAAGACTTATTTTGATTTTAAAATGAAAGACAAACCAATTAAAGCATGATCACACTAGAAATATTGTACCTATATTGTCCTGATTAAATATAAAAAAATCATATTAAAACTATATTTAAAAAAAAAAGAACGAGTGATTATTTTTATGTAAATAACATTTTTCTGTTAGAACTTTTGTTAGGTTATTTATTTATTTATTTTTCTAAATTGGTAAATTCATCTTATTAAAAAAATTCAGTACTATCTTAAATATATGGTTCTCGTTTTTTTCTTCAGGAACCAATATATATATATATATATATATATATATATATATATATATATATATAAAAGAAGGAGTGATTATTTTTATGTAAATAACATTTTTCTGTTAGAACTTTTGTTAGGTTATTTATTTATTTTTCTAAATTGGTAAATTCATCTTATTAAAAAAATTCAGTACTATCTTAAATATATGGTTCTCATTTTTTTCTTCAGAAACCAATATATATATATATATATATATATATATATATATATATATAATCTATATATATATATATATATATATATATATATTGAAACACCCCAAAAGTATAGGCCAAAAATTTCGTTTTAAAATTCATTTATAATAACCATACGTCATCCATCATCATAAAGAAAACCATAATCATATATCTCAAAACATCGTGTCAAAATACTGTATCAAATCATATGAAAATATCATAGTCTAAAACAATCCCAGGCTGAAACTGTGGTGTGTGTCATGCGATCATCCCGAGCCCTTCCCCTTGCTAGTGGAAGTACCTGAAACCAAAACTGAAAACTGTAAGCACGAAGCTTAGTGAGTTCCCCAAACTACCACATACCATAGAAATATCATGCAACTAGGAGATACGGGCCCCGCCCACACTCCGCTGTCTAGGAGATTCGGGCCCCGCCCACACTCCGCTGTCTAACATGCATACAAGTATCACACAGACAACAAGTACATCTACCAATCAACCACATATCTATACTTAAATAATACTACAAGCATCAGGCCCCACCCACTCTAAACTACTATAAGCTTCGGGCCCCGCCCACACTTAACTACTACATAAAAGCATCGGGCCCCGCCCACTCTGAGCTACTACATATCACTTATACGGGCCGGCCCTGGTGCTGTAGACTCGTTCCTACTGAAGGAAACTCACCTCGCAAGACTGAATGCTGAAAACTCGAGCGAGGAATCCCTTTCTGCTGCTCCGGCGACTCTCCGGCTATCAATTCCATAATGACACTTAATCAGAATATGCTAATCATCTCTTAGGGTAAAATGACCATTTTACCCATGGTTAAAGTCAAAGTAAAGTCAAGGTCAACTCCCAGTCAACCCAACTTGTCGAGTTATCTCCCAACTCGACGAGTTCCTGAATGTTTAATCCCGTAATCAACTGAGTCAACTCGTCGAGTCCCTTAACAGACTCGTCGAGTTCTTGCTGTCATAAGAATCGTGACAACCCGCTTCAACTCGTCGAGTCCTTCCTTGGACTCGGCGAGTTCCCCTGTCTGATTGAGCCATCTCAAGGGATTAAGCTCCTACCATTCAGATCTATGTTCCTTAATTCGTTTGTCCACTGGAAAGGCCTTTCTAAGGGTAAAGTTTCCAACTTTACCCATTCATAGCTCCTCTAAAAGGGTTTAGAAAAAACCCTAATTCTTATAATACATGAATCTTGTCCAAAAGGCCATATAATCTCAAATCCACGCATACAAACCCAAATCTAAGGTCTTAGCATCTGTTGGACACATAAAGCTTCGAACTTTCCTTCCATGCATGGTCTTCTAGGGCTAAAAAGACCATAAACTTGCTCATATGCTTGCATGGTCATAAAGTTTGCACCTTTATGCCATGGAACCCTTCCTAGATCCTAGATCTGAGATATAAGTAACTTGGGACGTCCAAACCCAAGGAACAAGGTTCTTGACCCAAAGCTTTCATAATATGGAGTTAACTAGATCTAAGAGAAGAAAGATCAAGTTGGAATCTTGATTACCAGAAAATGCAGTAAATGAAGTGTAGCTCCTGGATCTACTCCTTCCTCTTTGAGTCTTCAAACTTCTACTTCTTCCACAAGCTTCACAATGCACAAAAACACTCAAAAATGGCAAGAACTAGCTCAAGATCACTTATGGCGGATTAGGGTATCGATAATAGGGTTTGGAGGTGATGGAGGCTGGGGTAGAGGACATGTATGATGCTTAAATAGGGTGCAAACCCTGAAAATTAGGGTTTCCTCCTGATGGACCTACTCGCCGAGTCCAAGCTCGGACTCGTCGAGTAGACCACTTAAACCCTGTGATCAAGCTGGCATCTACTCGACGAGTTAGGGCTACCACTCGTCGAGTAGCTCTTACAAAATGAATACTTAAATAGATTAAATACGTACCAATAACGGGGCGTTACAATTCTCCCCCACTTGTGTTAGACTTCGTCCTCGAAGTCTACTGCGCCTGAAAACAACTCTGGGTAGTGCTCCCTCATCTCCTCCTCGGGCTCCCATGTCCACTCTGAACCCTTGCGGTGCTGCCGCTGCACCTTCACTAACTCCACCCTCTTGTTCCTCAACTCCTTCGTCTTGCGATCTAGAATCGCCACTTGTCTCTCGATGTAGTTCAGGCTGTCATCAACCTGAATATCCTCAAGGGGTACCATTGCTGAATCATGCACTAAGCACTTCCGCAACTCAGAAACATGGAAAGTGTTGTGGATCTGGCTGAGCTCTGCTGGAAGATCTAACCGGTAAGCAACCCGACCCACCCGATCCAACACCCTAAACAGACCTATGAACCTGGGGCCCGGCTTGCCTGCTTCCGAAACTTGATAACACCCTTCCAGGGCGACACCTTCAGGAGGACCATATCGCCCACCTGGAACTCCAAGTCTAAACGCCGCTTGTCGGCGTAGCCTTTTTGCCGACTCTGAGCAGTCTGGAGCCTGCTTCGGACTTGCTGGATCCGCTCTGTGGTTTTTGAGTACCACCTCCGTACTCCCCATAACTCTCTGACCGATCTCACCCCAAAAAATTGTGGTCCTGCACTTCCTCCCATAGAGCATCTCAAAGGGAGGTCGGTCTATGCTGGCATGGTAACTGTTGTTATACGAAAATTCCGCTAACGGAAGATACGTATCACAACTGCCACCAAAATCTAACACGCATGCGCGTAGCATGTCCTCGAGAGTCTGAATCGTCCTCTCGCTCTGCCCGTCTGTCTAGGGGTGGAAAGCGGTGTTGAAGTGGAGACGAGTACCCATCTCCTCGTGAAACCGCTTCCAAAATCTGGAAGTAAAACGGACATCTCGGTCTGACACCACCGAGACAGGCACTCCATGACGTGCCACTACCTCTCGAACATAAATCTCGGCTAACTTCTCGGCCGAGATGCTCTCCTGGATCGGTATGAAATGGGCGCTCTTGGTCAACCGATCCACGATGACCCAGATTGCATAAACCCCATGTGCAGTCCTGGGAAGCTTAGTGATGAAGTCCATAATGATATCCTACCACTTCCACACAGGAATGTCCAACGGCTGCATCTTGCCGTGCGGTCTCTGGTGCTCTGCCTTGACCTTCCTGCAAGTAAGGCATCTATCTATGTACCAAGCTACATCATGCTTCATGCAGGGCCACCAATAATTGAGTCGAAGATCTATGTACATCTTCGTTGCCCCGGGATGGATG